TTGACCATAAATTCCGTATTGGCCGTGGATGTGTCTCAACCGTCTAATTTGCATAAATGGAATTCGCGGAGAGACAAGTCTTTCGGAAATTAAATGAAGTGGTGGCAAAGACGCAGGTATTCATTGGTATTTGAAACCGTTGTATGTGGACAATGTTGGAATAACTTTCTTCTCGATTGATTGGTGACACGTGGTGCAAAGTAATATCTCATTAGTTGAATTGAAATTATCAATTATTACACGTAAGAGTTCTTCATGTTCTGCCCGTGGTGGTTTTAAATCATTGTAAAACCATAATCGATCGCAAACAGAGCATGCATAATCGAACATATTGTTAAAAAATTTTTTGCGAAAATCATCATGGGCAACTTTATTTCTTAGAAATTGTGAGTATGGAATATCAGGACTTCTATCAACTTGAGAAACACCTACAAAATAAATTCATTATATTAACTAAAGAACCACCTATCTAGAAAATAACAATTACTGCTTTAAATATGACGTATGGCGATTAAGTATGTGATCTGTGAGCAATAAAAATTAAAGAAGATATATATTGATGAAAAAATATTGAAGTACTTACCATGATCTTTATCACTATTTAGAACACTGCACGCATTATTACGCGCATTAGAAATATTAGTCTGCACATTCAATAACACCTTTCGGCGTGCAAGAAATGCTCGAACGCGTTTTGTTGAATTCTTTGGAACTTTAGTAATTTGTTTTTTCTGCTTATTTTCACAAAATTGTCCAGCGTTAGTTTTCGGTTGGGAAACACTGGAATCGCAACTCACAGAATCCAATTGCGAATGATCTTAATAGAAAATAAAATTAAAAAATTTTTTAATCGAGATCTATTTAGAAAAGAATGGAAAATAAATTTTCACTTCAATATACTTATTAGAAGCTATTTAATGACTTACGATGATCGTTTTCACTATTTCGAACAGTGCTCGCAGTATTATCCGCATTAGAAATATTATTCTGCACAATTAATAACGCCTTTTGGCGTGAACGAAATGCTCGTACGCGTTCCATTAAACTCTTTGGAACTTTCCTAATTTGTTTTTTCTGCTTATTTCCATAAAATTGTTTGTATAACAAATAGCTTCGTTACATAGCTGCGTTACCGTTTATTTACTTTTCAGATCACTCCTATTCTAAAGAAGTTTTCACTTCAAAAAATCAGATATTATATGCATAATTTCAATAACTACACCTGATGGATAGAATTTTCGAAATAACAGTTAACGACCAGCCGTTAAATTTACACAAAGTGATTATAAATACCTCAAACTATGTCAATGTGAAAAAACATCAAACAAGGTAAACATGGTTAAACTTCACAGAGAACATATCACAAGTAAATACATAAATAGATGAAGAACAAAGCTTACAGTTAAATAATGTTTATCTAAAAGAAACTGTAAATATAACAAACAAACACTGAATTTAAATCAAACGACTCAGCCTAAATCAAACATTAGAAAAACTATTACAGAATTTGTCTGGGGATAGACAAAGAAAATCTCCAATACGAAATTTAATTGAAATTTAATAGAAACTGAAAATGATTTTATGATCGAGTAAAATTCACTGGCAAGAACCCAAATGGTTACTAGTGGATTAATTATTTTATACTTTTAGTATAATATAATAATAAAGTCAGAGAGACACGGACACGCCACATGGAGTCATGAGCGAATGGGAAGTATGAATGGGCTGCGGCCGTGGTTCGGTGGATATTTCCCTCAGACTAACCAAGGGGTGAGTAGTAAACACCTCAACCGGGGTGACACGTGATGTCTGTACCTAACCTTTGTGCTAGTAGCGTGGTCTTTGCTCGTTGGGACTCCTCCCAACGAGTCGTGATCATGCGAAAACGCATGCTTAAAGTGGGAAAACCGCTCCGTGCTACTGACTGGAGTCAATGGGGGTGTTGAAGCCGAGCACGTCGGGCGCAGGTGTGAAGGATTACCTGGTCAGTATTTCCTTATACCCGAAGCTGCATAGGGCAAATCGCACACCGTCTAGCCTGAGGTCTGGGTCTGGTATCGGTTCGGATCCGGTATCGCTCATGGGGGTACTCCGTAATCACGGCGAGGTMAAAGATATGACCCCCAAGGAAACACTAGAGATCCTAGATCTAGATATCCTAGCCGAAAAACAGGAGGTAAAGGAGGCGCTTGACGCCAAGCTTAGCGAGAACGTGGACAGAAAGATCGCTGTCCTGGGCCCCAATAGCCTAGGGCAGAAACTGGCTGTCTGCGAGATGACCAGGTTGGACGCTACCCGTCTTCTACAAGCCGGACGTATAAGGGTGGGATTTATAAGCTGCCGGGTTAGGGTTCGGGTGATAGTATCCAGATGCAATAGGTGCCTCGGATATGGACATTTTCGTGCGGGATGCAAGGGACCCGACCGAAGTGATGCATGCCGGAAATGTGGGAAAAAGGGACACGAGGCTAGGGCTTGCGCGGGCGCCCCCTCCTGTTTTCTCTGTTCATTAGAGGAAGCCAGGAGGGCGTCGCACGCGCCGGGCTCTGCCCTCTGCGCCTCTTTCAGGAGAGCTCTAGCGGAGGCACGGACAACACAGGGTAATAAAGGAAATAATTATGGCCCAGGTTCTCAAAGCCAACCTAAATAGGAGTAGGCTGGCCCACGCCTTACTTCCCCAGCTAGCGGACGAAAAGGGTGCAGAGATCATTTTGATCTCCGAACCCTACCGAGATCGGGACTCCCCTACATGGTTCATTAACCCCTTGCGCACCGCGGCTATCTGGGTTCGTGAGGGAGCTATATCCCTCGTGACGGGGCACGGAGCGGGGGAGGACTTCGTCTGGGCTAGGGTGGGGGCCATAACTTACGCAAGTGTGTACCTATCCCCAAACTGTAGATCGGCGGAAATCGACCGAAAAGTGGCGGCTCTCGAGGACGCGATTCGATGCCTCGGTGGGGACGTAGTACTCGCAAGGGACAGCAAGACTGGACTTGGCGGTAGCCAATGTAGGAAGGGTAAAAACGTACAGGAGACCAAGCTACGGTGCATAAATCCCGGACGTGACATTTCCGTCTGACAAAATCTTAGCGAGGGTTATAAATTGGAGAGTGCTGGAAGATTAAACTGCCAGCGACCACCAACTTATAACCTTCGAAATCAGAGGAAGACCACAAAGTAGCTCTTCAACCCCCCATGGGGTAGAACGTTAAGAGACTCGACATGGACAGACTGACAGAAAAACTAGAGACGGAACCTGACCCTGCAATGCTGATCCCCTGCGACATCGGGGGTAGGAAGAAGTCGGAGAGGTTGGCTCAGGAGACGACGGGACTCCTGAGGAGGATCTCCGACGCGTCTATGCCCAGAAGACAGATGAGACGCGACAAAAAACCAGCGTACTGATGGACGGACGAGATTGCACGCCTCCGTAGCGTATGCCTAGGATTCCGACGGAGGGCCCAGCGCTCACGTGAACGAGCGGAGGCGCTGGCCCTCTCCGAAGAATACCGGGTTGCGTGCCGGAAACTAAGGCGTGCGATCAACATGAGCAAACGTGAGAGTTGGACTAAACTTATTGACGAGGTTGATTCGGACCCTTAGGGAACGGGTTATAAGATCGTGACCCGCAACCTGGGACGGTTCGGACCACCTGCTATCAGAGACGAAGAGACCATGGACAGGATCGTCGACGGATTCTTCCCGATGCACCCTGAACAAGTGTGGACGGAGGACGATGTCGACGAAGACGAAATTCCGGAATTCTCTCGGGCTGAGCTTACAGTGGCGGTGACTCAGCTCGCGGGGGGAAAAGCTCCGGGACCGGACGGCATCCCGGCGCAAGTCCTCGGGATAGTTGCAAGGCTACGCCCGGGGATTATTCTCAGCCTGTACAACACATGCTTGAAGACGGGAATTTTCTGCAGAGAGTGGAAGACAGCCCGCGTGATCCTCATCCCTAAAGGCAAGGGTGGGGACCCCAAGGTGCCGTCTTCCTATAGACCGTTGAGCTTGCTGAACTCTCTCGGCAAGCTCATCGAAACACTACTCAGAACCCGGATCCAGCAGGCTGTACGGGCGGCCGGGGGACTTTACGACAGACAATACGGTTTTAGAAAAGGACGATTAACGATAGGCGCG